AAAATCAAGAGAAACTCGAAAAAATACATTGAGTTTTTAACAATCTAAATCCATACAAGTTGTGTAGCAGGCTAATGGTTAATATAATAATTTATGAAGTTAGGATACCTGAATTATGCATTATGTTCCTCTGCAGGTGTCAGTATAATGGAAATATTTTAGTTATAGCAGTAAAATTGTTAAAAGGGTAAAATTGAAGAAAAAAAAAGAAAATTAGGAAGGGACAGGTAGCAAGATTACTCAAAGTAAAAGGCAATGAATAATTCTATCTTTTCTATATATCAAACATCTAATATATACTTTTGTGTATTCAATAATGAGGTCTAGTATTTGTGTATTGAAATGTATAATGAAGGGTCTGTTTAATTATGTAAGACTGAAGTTGATTAGTAATTTGGTCAATATGATTGACAATCTTTCCAAACACAGCAAAACGACGAAAATGCAAACAATAAAACACAACATTAAAAACTACAAACTGAGCAACACGAACCCCACCAAAAACCGGGTTAATATAAAGTTCTCTGGAAGAGTAAGCAGAAATTTCAGCTCCACATGTAGCACCTGTCGTATTGTTCATGTTTTTGGTACATATTCGGTGATAAATTTCAATCGGTGATGTTACATGTAAGGAAAAGTGGACAGCACTTGGAACATTTTTCCGCCGTCACATGTGGAATAAATAGTCCAACTAACACATCATATATAACCTACGAATGATGGATAGATGAATGGTTGTTTGTTAAACGTCCAGTGGTAAATAAAATGCATATACAGGATGAGAATATAATAATGGAATATGAATGTTGACTACACCGACATGCTGAGCCAGATAAATAATAGATCATAATAATAAGAAATCAAATTTTTTATGAATTATTTATAGAATTTACACAACGCATAAATTCAAAATATACTGGTATCTATTTCAACTTTTGATAATGTTATATTTAGGGAATAAGTGAAAAAAGATAAGGTGGGTCGGGTAGGTTTGTTTTTTTCCTGGTATCATTACATAATTTGTGATTTATAGAATAAACTGTTTGTTGGAACAAGAGAACAGCTAGTTTCGTTTTTGTTGGGCTTTTTATTCGGAATGTTTGTTGTGTCACTTATGTTTTTGTTTTGTGATGGGTAGAAAAGGTATTAATAGTATTTTTGAAAATCTTGAATCACACATTTCGTTTATCCTTTTATCTTACCTACTGCTGCTTTCGAATTTACATCAAATATAGGTCTTGTCTTCAAAGAATGCACCATAGACCGCATTTTGTTTCTTCAATTACGCTTGTAAACAAACAAATTAATTTCAAGCTGATAAAGTTCTTGGATTTTTTCTTCTGATTAAGAAAACCATTTTCCAGCTTGACGAATACATGGTTACCGGGACTTTTATTTTAAAAATATAGTATGTCCCAGATGCTCACCATTGATTCTATGGTGGCGTGCTTATCAAACCAGATGGATTTACTCAACATTTCTTCTGATGAACCTAATGAAACAGGAAAGATCTTATCCTTTGACTTCAGGTTCTGTTATATACTAGTAGGTGATGCTCTCTCACTGTATAATTAAAAATTTCTGTTGTGTAAGAGGGGTGGATGGGGGTCCTTCATTTCTGTATTCTTTATTTTTTAGGCCATTTTTCACTACTCTTGATTCTTTTTTGCCCATTATTCTCTATTCTCTATATTTTAGCACCTCCTTATTCTCTATTCTTTATTTTTTGGGTCCATTTTTCTCTATTCTTTATATTTTCTCTCTATTATTCTCTATTCTGTAAACCCCCATACACACCCTCATGTAAAAGAAATCCTTTCGAAGTTCGATGACTGTTTCTCTTATCTATCATTCATTGTCGTTAACATGAAAACTCATTAAAGATATATGTACCCGACTTATAATTTGGTTCACCAGACGCCATTGCATCTACATAAAACTCGTTTGTCATCAAATGAAAAGTTGGAAAGCCAAAGCAATTACAAAGTTGAAGAGTATAAATAACTAAAAATTCCGAAAAGTTGTGCAAAATACGATGCAAAATTTAGGCAAGCTATATATATATATTCCTAGGGTAGAAAAACTTCAATACTTTATTAACAGTAAATTTACAGAAAATGAACATATATCAATTTAAATTCATGTCAGCACCATTGACTACTGCACTGTTGATACCATTGGAGACGAAATTTTATAATAACCTTAATAAGATATCTAATAAACTAAATAAGTTGTTTAAAAAATATCTAATTTAACTTTTAAGATATCTAATTACGTTTAAAAGATATCTTATAAAGTTAATGAGATATCTTATTTATTCAAATTGAATAAGATATCTCATAAAGCATACAAGATATCTTATAAAATTTAAAAGACATCTTGAAATTGAATAAATATATAAACAGCTTGCCATATGCTAAATGCACTTTTTCAGATTTACATTCATGAAGAACGTTCAAAACAAAAAAGTTCCTAGCAGATAATGTATAATTAGAAATTTAACTTTAAAGTTGCCAATACAATCTATCCCTTTTAAGTTAACTAAGCATTAGAGTTGCAACCATAATTTTGTCCAAATTACTAAATTTATCTATAAAAGTAGATAAAAATGTACATAATAAACCAAGATATGCTAAACATTAACTAATTGGAGGTAAAGTTCACCTATAATGGAAAATTCATCATTGATAAATTAAACATCCTGTAAACTTAATTGCTACCTAAATAAATGGAAATCTTTTATTTGTTACTCCTTTTAGAATAATTGATGATCACTTCAGCTGCAATTAAACATAAAGTGCTTCTAATCTTGGAAGATAAATTCTGATAAATATTGCACAAGACAAAATGCTACCCAACTTCAGGAATTGTCTATATGAAGATTCATACACTTTTGCTTTCTTTTGAATCTACAGGCTCGCATGAGCCTGAATCGCTCACCTGGTAAAAATGTTTGACCTAAAAATTCTTAACAATAATGGCAGCCATTTTTGGCACACTTATGTAAGATGGTAACCAGATCTGATCAAGATCCACTCTGACAATATTATATTTTAAAAATATGATAAAATAATTTAAGGATGATAACCGCAGTAGTAGTTAATTGGTGATTTCAATTTTTGTAGGCAATAGTTTCTCTCCATCTATTATAATTTTCAAAATTATAGCCAAAAATGCACAAAATAGGTATATAAAAAAAATCGTCTTTTAAGGGAAATTACTCCTGGCATTTTATAGCAACATAACTTATTTGTAGATCATTATAGCTTTTTACAGTTTCTATCAACTATAGTTTTCACCAGAAGTTGGTAAAATCATCATTGAAGGACCATTTCTCATGTAAGTAGTCAACAGAAGATTTCGTACAATTAGTTTTGAAGTAGTTGTAGAATGTGCCTAGTTGATAATTTTTTCTGTTTAAAGTTCTATATATCTATTATAGTTTTCAATATTATAGTGAAAACAAAGAATGGGTAGAAATTGCATTTAAAGGTAATAACACCTATAAAGAGTCGACTGACAATTTTGGCCATGTTGATTAAGTTGTAGATCTCGTTTTGCTGGTAATTTTTGCCGTTTTAATCTTCCTTCCACCTGTAATATAATTTTCCAAGTTGATAGCCAAAATCTGTGAAATTTGCTAAAAATTGACAATTTAGGAGCAATAGCTCCAAAATATTTCTTAAAATTTAAGATTGAAATTGATCTGCTAATTTTTTGCATGCCAGTCTTTGTCTCGCCTGCGACAAAAGTTGTGGAAAGCAAGACATAGGGATTGCTTTTCTGGCGACGGTGGTGGTGTCAACAATTGTTAAGTTTTCTGCTCAAGTTAATTTGATAGGAACTGATTGTGATATATCATTGATATTTGATAAAAAAGTTGCAATACTATCAGTACATATCAGTTTGATGACGATTTCTAGGCCCTGCCCCGTAGGTCATAGTCCAACAACTTTGAAATAATTAGCAATTCTCAATGTTAAGTTTTCTGCTCAAGTTGGTTTGATAAGAACTACTTTTGATAGATCATTGATATTTAATATGACTTTGCATTACTATCAGTACATATCAGTTTGACGTTTATTTTGAGGCCCTGCCCCCTAAGTCATGTTCCAGGGACTTTGACTCAATAAGCAATTTTCAATGTTAAGTTTACTGCTCAAGTTAGGTTGATAGGATCTACTTGTGATAGATCAATGATATTTTGTATGAAGTCGCATTACTATCAGTACATATCTGTTTGACGACTATTTTGAGGCCGTGGCCCCTAGGTCCAGTGACTTTGAAATAATTAGCAATTTTCAATGTTAAGTTTTCTGCTTAAGTCACTTTGATTAGAACTTCTTGTGACAGATCAATGATATTTAGTATAAAGTTGCATTACTATCAGTACATCTCAGTTTGTCGACCATTTCTAGGCCCTGCCCACAAGTTCATGGTCCAGTGACTTTGAATTAATAAGCAATGTTGCTGGCCATCAGATTCTTTTTCTGAATTTCATGTGGACAGGCGAGACATATCTCTGTGTCATCAGTTTATGCCCTAACTGTTTTAGTTTTTAGATGTAAGCCAAAAACTGTGGTTGTATCCATGTTCTTCTTTTACAATTTATAAACTAGACATTCTAAGGAACATTCACACACAATCTGTTCAGTAGTTTTGGACCTTTTGGTCAAGGTGAGCTTAAAAGGAATGATGAATATTATTTGGATTGACTTTAAAATTTCGATTCATAGACTATGTAATTGTTCTTAATCTAAGGATGAAGCTACCTCAGACAAAATTGAATTCACAGTTTTAGATGTTCTATTTAACCATTTGATCTCAAATATTTTATATTTTTGACAATTTTTAGAGGTTTTAAAAAATTATGTGTTACTACTGGGGTACTTAAATGAAAACTATAAGTAAGTTTGCACTCAATGTATTCACCATGGAGGCACTGGATATCAACCAAGTATCATAAAAACAAAATATTGCCACATGAAAACATAAATCAGTTTAGTAATTAGATTTTAATTTCAAAATATAAGTATGTATACACACAACAAAGACACAATCACTCTTTTTGCACCATAACTACACCACTAATATCTAAAGTGAACAGTGAACTTATCCCAAATGCTAAATGTAAACATTTATGAGTCTATATTTTAATTAAGGCTATACCTAATTATGATGACGGAGGCTGTTGGGGGAAAAAAAACCCAAAAACATAAATATAGATGTTCCAAAGCAAAAAACAAATCACTGAATACAATTCATATTTTTCTGCAAACAGAATAAATGTTTTAAGAAACACAAAATTGTCCCACATGACAGTCTATAGTTGACTGAAAGAAATTAAAAACTAATTTGTCTTAGGCCATAACGAAAAAAATCCTAGATTCTCTAACAACCCTGACCCTGATTTTTTAAGAGTCAAAAAAATATTTATTATGATTTCTAGCTATTTTCTTTCATTTTGCTAGAGGTTTTTATTAAAATGGTAAACAATAAAAAAAAAAAATAAACCCCCACCCTCCTCAAATTTAAAAAAAAAAGTGTGACAAAAACATGTTAACTTTTTTCTGGTTCACTTAGTGGGCTTAAAGGATACAAAACAGATTACCCTGTATTAACAGTTGTACAAAAGTGCATACATTAAAATGAAGTACATGATTAATCTGATTATCTTTCTTGAAAACTATCTAATTCAACAGTTTAAAGCACTCTTTTTCCCTGGTTACCAGCAGGGTTGTTTCTTGTACAGAAAGCTGAAGCAAATTTAATGGACTAGTTAAGTTTTAAAAGAATGGCCTTCTTAACTTGGAAAGATAATTTTGTAAAAAAAAAAAGTAACTAATATGCAGCCGTATTTAAGTTTTGAAATTGTGTATAAAAATCAAGTTGTACAAATTTTAAAAAAAACTTCAGCCTGCACTTGTCATGCTTGTGTAGACATTATCTATGTTTACACTGTTAAGTAATTTGTTTAGATTAGACAAAACAACAAAGCACACATTCAAAGAAAGAAAAACTGTGTTTGAAAATGATTGCATATGAATAATAAAGTGAACATTTCTAACAATAAAAATTGACATAAAAGTGCAATGTTATATAGTTTGTAATATGTCTCATTAAAATTTTCTTGCAGCTCTACTGTATGAAAACGGTTTAAATTGAAAAAATAAAAGATAAAACTGAAGCTGTGTTATTCACATTATCTTAATTTTATGTATAATAGTTCTAAAATGGTTACTTATGCTAAGCACTATATTCAAAACAACTTGCTAGCAGTATTCAAATTAACCACTTGCATTGCATTAGTTACAGAAAAAAAAATGATTAGCACTTTTGTTTTTATTTAACAAATTAATAAATAAATCACAATGTAGAAAAAAAATCAACAAGAAAGCATACATTCATACATTCACACAATAATCACAACTCTTTCATCAATTAACAATATCAGCAAAACTATATATGATGTTTCACCTGTTTTCTTATTTTTAATTTTCATAAAATCAACAAATAAGTTTAAACATACAAAGAAATATAAGTACTGGGTAGTTTTTCTTTGGTCAGAATTTAGCAGAAAACACATCAGATATGGTGGTAATACCCATTGCCATTTAACACTCTTTCTTCTTTACTAATGACTTATGGACCTAACACTCTGATTCCTATATGTTAAGCCAATTTTCCAGCTTCTAATAACTTCAAATTGGGAGAAAGTTTTATCATAACCATTATTTTGAACATTATTCTCCCATACCACCCATAATAATGGCAGGAGTAAAATGTTGATCAGATAATTCTACTTTTAAGAGTTTGAATTTAAGATCTCAGGTTTCGAAAACATGTCTTAAGGATAAATATTTTGTTAATTAACCTTATCAATTGCAAAATTCTAATTTGACATCCTGTTTTACGCATGGTGGTATGTTCCATATTCAAATACTCAATAAACAATTACTGACGAATATTTCATACAAATATGTACATGAAAACATTATAAACAACAAATGAAATTTTATTTTCTTTATTCTAATATTGAAGATGCAGCAGTTCAAAAGTTAATAAATAACAAGATTATGCATCCATAGGACATCATGCCTGCTCACACTATCACATTTCCATGTTCAGTGAACCACAAAACCTGGGTTAAAACCCTAATTTGGCATACATATATTAAACAGTTCAGTTCATAATGAACAAGTGTACTACGGTTCAAGTTGATGTGATCAGACTTCTTTCAACCAAAACTTTAACATGTGAAGGACAGACAAACAAACGGATGTACAGCAGGACATAAGAACTGTTTTCAAGGGCATATTCTTATTGTACAATGGATTTTGATAGTTTTGTTATGAAATTTATTTAACATATAGTTTTCATTATGTACAACTATTTCAAATAAATATTTTTATAACTTTCTCTTTTTATCACTATATTTTAAAAATAAATATTAAATGCACCATCTTGTATATGTAGTAAATAAACTGTGTTAATTTTTCCATGATATTGTTTTTGTTTTAAATTTACTTGACCAAAAGTTAAATCATATAGTTGTTTATATAACAAATCACAAGTTACCAACAAATACTTGAAGATATGATTACAAATTATTTATATACAAGATACAAGAATGTGTTCTTGGATTGAGTATTTGAGAATAAGCTAAAGATCAACATTTCATACCTCAGTTCTTGCTTGAAACAAGCTGTCATGGGACTAATACAAGGTATCTCAATAATAATTTAAAGATTCAGTTATTCTTCTTCAGAAAAATACAAATTATTGCTATCTTTAAAAATTCCCTAAAGAATAAAACATAAAATTATGATGAACAACTTGTAAATTTAACAATTATTAATGAATGATATCAATAGTTTCATAAATTTATTCAAGACCCTCAATTTGTTGGAATTATGTTTGTTTATACATGCTATAATCTTATTTGAGGTAAAAAGTTCATATACTACTAAGTTCTAATATTTTCATAGAATTTACATAATAAAGCATCAAAAAGTCATATAGATAAATCTGAATTATTCACATATTAAATTTCTTTTTCATTATTTCAAATTTATATAATTTTTACATATAAGACTAGATGAAAAGGAATGTTTGGAATTGTTTGTTTAAACAAAGATATGTTTTTACTAATCTTGTGTCATATTTGCACCCTTCATGTTAAGTTACTATAGCCACTGTATCCCTGTTACACCTGTTCATATCCAGACTGTCTACTTCTCTTACGACCAATAAGGTAAGCTATCAGTACTATAACAACCAATCCAGCAAGAGCAGCACCTACAGCTATCGGTACTACAGAGTTGGTGTCGGAGTCAGCGGAGCATTCTGATATACCTGTAATAAGATTATGATATAATAAGGTGGAAAAAAGGGATGTAACATTAACTGAATTTCTAACTCTGTATGCGAGTTTTGGTTCTTAGCATTGTGTATAATTTTCATTAAATTTGAATGTGGCAAACTGAAGTAAGAGTGTGGAAACGAAATGTTTTTTTATTTCAAGTTATAAAGGGACATAACTCTAGATCAGTCAGTGACTCAATGCCCAAATTGGAACTCTGCGAGTTTTGGTTCTTAGCATTGTGTATGAGTTTCATAAAATTTGGATGAGAAAAACTTGAGTTAGAGTGCGGGAATGGGAAAATGGGACAGAGGGATAGACAGTCAAGGGAAAAACTTGATGCCCCCTTCGCCTAGCGACAGGGCATACAAATATATTGAAACCTTATATGCCAAATTAAAGACACAAACACATTTATCAAAATTTCATCATTTAAATACAAATCCAGGAAATCTGAGGATTCTTACTTAAAACTCACTATAACCTTATGAACCTCATTGCAAGTTATATTAGTTAAGTCTTTATTTAGGCACAATGCAATAAAATAATATTGATATATTTATTAAACACGTTATAACACATGGTAGAAAATTTTCAGATATTTAGAAAATTTTTAGAAGTCGTTGGTTTACAAGTTTGACCTACCAGAACTTTTAAATTCTGTAATATTTTTTTGGAAGGCAGCATATTGTAAGTTGTATGTTCTCATATTAACTCCATCCATCACTTCCAAATCACTTTTATCATTACACTTGTAGCTTCCATCTTTATCTGCAGCAAACTGACTCTTTGTAAATGTTTTCCTCACTGATAGGGTTACTGTGAAAAAAAGGTATGTATAAGTTAAGAATGATCTTGACTACTGACTTTTTTTGTAAATCAAACTGAAAACAAATTGATAATATTTTTCCTTGAGAAGAAGCAGTCCATGGAAATTATTCAGACTAACTGCCTTACTTTTCTCACTTTACATTGGTTGATGATTACATGGTAGCTATGAAAAGACATTTTGATAGGTAGGAACTTCTAATGGATTATTCAGTATTTGCAAAAAAAATGAAAGATGAAAGATGGGAAAATATTCAAACACTATCAAGAGAACTTGACTGTAAATCTCTGATACCCATGTGTAAAATTTCTAGTCATCTCTGCCTTGTATTACCTTCCTATATCCCCAGACAACTTACCAAAGGGAATTATCAAACTGAAGAAATCCACTACATTTTTTTAAGTATATTGGTGATTTGAATTTTTGTAATGCCCTTGGCCGTATGTTACTTTAACTATTATACAAGCTCATCATATTAAGCATAGTAAAAATGGTTTAAAGACTCAAGAGGCAAGGTTTAATTCTGATAGGCCATATTACCATACCTGCCAACTTTTGGAAATCCAAATTGGGGTTTTACAGCGCAACAACAATTTCAAAGGTTACAAATTTTAGAAGAGTATTTTGTGCATGCTGTTTTGTACTGTAGAAAAAGTGTCATATCGTTTTTTATATGCTATACTGATGATGAGCTAATGCACTTTTCTACATTTTATTTGCATGATTTTTGTGCTTATATTATTGTGTAGAAAAGATGAACATGTAGCTAGAATAACCAGGAAATATTTTCTTGTATAGCAGTCTGTGCCAAACTCTTTTGGTTTCTGTCTGACATTCGGTCAGACAGTGTTGTAGGTTTTCTGACCAAACAGATTGTTGTCTGTTCAATTAGTTAAGCTTATTTTGTTGTTTATGTTTTTAAATGTACTGTGTTGTTTTATGATGATATTCATGGTAAAAAATTGCATTTCAGGAAAGCAGTTGAAAAGTTTTTATTAAATAAAAATAATTGTTTCAAAGTAATATTCAGATTAATAAAAAATTACAATATTATAAAATCCCCCCCTTAAAAAATAATAAAAATAAATGTATGTAAAGAAAGTACATGTATATATACACCAGTATTTGCAGTTTCACTTTTTTCCCAAGATAAGTTACTTTAGTATTCATTATTTTAATAAATTCAAATGGCACTCCAATCTCAGCTATTTATCAAATTGAAATCCTTCACTTGCCAATGGGCGACCGCTTATTTCAAATCCTGAACATACTTCAGAGTAAACATTTTACCCAGAAGTTTTCATTTCTATCGATCTTTGCGCACAAAAAGTAAGTCACAGAACCAAGTCGGTGAAAATACCGGACATACAGATCAGAATTGACATATGATTTGGCAGACCTGCATCTATTTCATCGGTCAGGAACATCATACCGACAGCGTTTGGCACAGACTGAATAGGAATATTTATCTGATTCCTTGTAAAAAATATCAATGACAACACTGTATGATCTGTTACAATAAGAAGATTGTCCATGAGCGACTATTTATTATGTTTATGGTAGCACTGCATCTTTGATGTCAATCAGTCATGCTTTTCATTTTAAGCTGTGTAAGATCCTTCATGCAGATGAAAATTCATCTGCCATGATCACGATTTTTACAATTCTGACATACAGACAGAGAAATACAACTCAAAGGTTCTAAACAAGTTAATGACACTAGAATTTAATATGCTGAAAGAAATTGCAATATTGTAGATTCATTTTTATTTAGTGGGAAACAATATTTTTGTGGACTTCATGGGTAAAGGTAAACCCAGAATTCAAATATTTAACCAAGTAAACATTTTCTGTATGCCTTTATGCAAAATTTTGCAAAAATAGGAAATCAAATACCCACAAAAATACATTTGTTTCTTAGATCCATGAAAATTGTTATCCATAACAACAAATGAATCAACAGTATCTTTTGAGGTCTACAGTATGTTTTTGCTGTTACTGAACATATATCGGCTTTCATTTTAATTTACCTGGTTTGTCAATATCAGGAAACAATTCTTTATTTAAATCGAATTTTATATCCACATCTGAGAAGTAATACCCAGTGTCCGTTTTTGTGAAGGTCATTAGAATGGTGGATGTCTTATAAAAAGTGATGGTCATGGTCTCAGTCGTATTTGATGCATCACAGTCTCCAGCAAATTCTGTATCATTGCTTTTGTCCTCTTTATGGATACCAAGTGTCTTTGTAACATTAGTCTACAATATAATAACTCAGGTTAAGTCTAAGTACCAGACATTTCTTAGTATTTTATCTTTTTCCATTATCTGTTAAAATGTTGTCCTTGATATTTTTCAGAAAAAGGTAAAAACTATAAACTTTAATATTAAATATATAAAACATCTATGAATTTTCAAACTTTCTTTATACCGTAAAAAGAATTTGAATATCCAAAGGGAGGAAACATCTGATTTTATTCAATCAACTTTTTGTGTACTGTTAATTTCTAACTAAAAAATTCAAAAGAAACCAAAAGATAATAAATTAATTAAGTTGACATAGATTTATCAACTATGCACAAATTGTCACCAAGGCATCAAACAACCTTTTTTTCTTAGAATCTTAAATTAGACATCCTAGATTTCAATACTACTTACTCCTTTGACAGGAATAGGTAAGGTGAATTCAATTCCTGCTTTGAACATTAGACAAGTTCCATTTCCATTGGATGCTTTGTATGTGTTGACATCAGGGGAACCAGGTTTAGGCATTTTTGCAGTAGTAGTTGGCTGTGCTGGTGTTGTTGGTGGTGCTTCAGATGTAGATTCATTAGTTGGTGGTTTTGTTGTTGGTGCTTCGGATGTAGATTCATTAGTTGGTGGTTTTGTTGTTGGCTGAGTTGTTGCTGGTGGTGCCTCTGATGTTGTATCCTTGTTTTTCTCGGTTGTTTGAGCTGGTGCTTGTGATGTCATAGCTGCTTCTGTTGTGATACCATCTATTGCTGTACAATCCTCAGCTGAAAAAAGTAAAAAAATGTCTAATTACAGTCAAACTTTATTATAAAGGTCAGCCTCGGGAACCAAGAAAACTGACCTTATAAGAGAGGTGACCATTGAATCGAGGTTTAATTACACATGTATTATTACAGCAAACAAGAAGAGGGTGACTGGAAAAGACTGTTTTCATAATATAGGGGTGACCTTTATAGCAGGTTTGACTGTATATTATGGATGCTTTTGAAGAAAATTTGCATCATGATTTTTTTTTTAAATATTTTGTTCATTATGACAATGAATGCATGTTTTCCCATAAATTGTACAACACACTATACTGCTACCTACAAACCACATGGCCTAATGTTACAATGTATACCCATATTCTTCTGTTATAAGGTATTGGTAACATTTTAAACATGAATAACTCTCTGTTGAGATGGATGATTTAGAAGTAGAAAATATTCTCAAAGGTTGAGTGAAGAGTTGTTTTATGAGGATTTGATCTCTCATGAAAAGACCCATTTAAAAGACAACTTTCTTATAGAATATATTTTGTTCTGAACATCTCATCTATAATTTATTTCATCAAAGTTCATGACTCTTTAATACAATGATAAATAAATATACACATCAATATTAATTAAAGGAACTTGATTTTACTTTATATCTATCTATATATTATATATATAGTCAACAGGATGTATTTTAATCATCAATATATTGCACAAATGATTAGATAATCTACCTTATTATCTATATAAATCATAAGTAAACAATCCTGATCAGTGTTTATTCAGTCTATTTGCAATATTTATAAATCATTTATCTCATTTTGAATAATTTTCTGTTTCAGAGTAATATATATTCAAAATTTTCATAATGATTAATTTGAACTGTTTAAATATGGATACATGTACATCATGTACATATACATAACAGATACATCATGTACATATACATAACAGATACATCAACATACTCTACTAAATCATCAATATAGCAGTTCTATCAATGTATTACTTTAGTAACCACCATATATCTATTAGAAGGTTATACATGTCATACATTATACAAGTATTAGTCAAGGGGACAGCTGTTACTTGGTTCAATAATATACAATTATAAATTTGATCAATAAAATGCAATAACTTGGGGAAAAATCTCTTACTTGAGCTAATATTTTATCTTTAAAGTTATCTTTTTCAACAAAAATTTTGTAAAATATCATCTTGTCACAAATCAACTTTTTTCAACACTTTTTACAAAGAGGATATCTCATAATGACATGGTTATGGTCACTTAGTTTTAGATTATACTTTGGAGTTTGCGAGTTAATAGTTAAAGACCTATATTCCAAACTTAACCAAAGTCACTCAAGCATGTAATGTAAATAATAGCGACCTAATGTAGCTGAAGGCATTATTCTACAAGTAATAGCTTTTCTAAAAAAGCTAGCCGTCTCTTAGCAGATGAAAGTGGAAAGGGTTTGAATTCTCGCTTTGTAGATTAATTCATTCAGAACAGCCTTGCAAATCAATCAACAAATTTTACCAAACACATTATGAAGCAGTATGTCGTTTAATGTTGGGTGTTAAATAAGGTCCTTATCGTACTAATCCTTCAAACTTAACATACTGGATTTATTTTGTCAGAGACCGTTCTTTTAAAATGACAACAGTATTTTCGTATTTGAAATTATAATTTTCTTTTATTTCTCTTTTTCTCATATAGCATATATATAAATATAGTATAAATGGTCAATAAACATCAAAACAATTACTAGAAGTTTGTTCTTGACCCTGCTCATTGTTTTAAGTAATATTCATTTTTTTGCTATTAAGATATTTTTTTTTACATGTATTCACAACCATTCTGTATATCATAGCTAGATTTGGGAGGATTAAAAACTTAAAATGTTGTAATGACATGTCCATTGTAGAAGACCGTATAGGTTAATTTTTAGAAGTAAATTGTTTTGTTTTTTGTTTAATTGGGTTAATGTCTAAATTAATTACGTATACTTCATATCTCCTTTCAAATCATTCATAGAAATTAAGCACTGCCAGTGGCGGAACCAGAACTTTTTCTAACCAATCAACGAACTTTAATTATTAACGTCTCAGTAATATCTTCCAATCAGGTAGTAAGAAGCATTCAGCCCGCAGACTGTCCATCGTTCAATTCTTAATAACATCTCCTCGGAGACGTTAATGAAAGAGAACTATATAAAAGATATGTTTTTAAATATGTCAGCACATACCCACGGTTTAAAACACATCGACTTAAATAAATAAACTGCTTTGCTGAGTGCAGCTTGATACGCCCGCAGAGGTCCAACCATGAACAGTTGGGGCAAAAATGGACACAATATTCAAGCTTGATACAGGTCTGAATTTGGATTGTAATTAAATATTTGATATATTATAGGTTTCTGAACAAATGTAGTCAAAGAACTTGAAATTGGTTATATGAAAGATTTCTTGCTGTTGTCCAATACAGTCTGTGCTGTTGCGTAATACTTAGTAAATCGGTTGTCAGACTATAAACAAATAAATTCTTATAACTCGGAAACGTAAAATCGAAAATTTATAAAAATCAAAAGGCAGCTTACAAAATTAGATATAAACAATTTAACAAAGTTTCATAAAAAATGCTGTAAGCATTTTTGAGTTATTGTCAGAAAACTGGAAAATCCCCCTTTTTTAATGAATAAAACCCCAAAACTTGGAAACGGTAAATCCGAAATTCATAAAAAAACGACAGGGAGCTCACGTCAATAGATATGAACAATTCACAAAAGTTTCATGCAAATTGGTGAAATTTTTTTTTGAGTTATTGTCCGAAAAACTGGAAAATCCCCCTTTTTTAATGAATAAAACCCCAAAACTCGGAAACAGTAAATCCGAAATTTATAAAAAACGACAGGGAGCTCACGTCAAAGGATATGAACAATTCACAAAAGTTTCATGCATATTGGTTAAAGCGTTTTTGAGTTATTGTCCAAAAACTGGAAAATCCCCCCTTTTTTAATGAATAAAACCCCAGAACTCGGATATGGTAAATCTGAAATTTATAAAAAACGAAAGGAAGCTCACGTCAATAGAAATAAACAATTCACCAAAGTTTCATGCATATTGGCTAAAGCGTTTTGAATTAATGTCCGACATGTTGACGATGGACGGACGGAAGGACGGACAAACGGACGGACAGACGGTCAACCATAATACGTCCCGTAAACGGGCGTATAAAAACAAGGGTAAAACTAAATGCCCTCTCCGCTACAGCGGGGGCATAAAAACAAAATAAAATGCTCCGCTGGGGCACAGCTTGATACGACCGCAGAGGTCGAACCCTGAACAGTTGGGGCAAGTATGGAAACAACATTCAAGCTTGATATAGCACTGAATTTGGATTGTAATTAAATATTTGACACAACATAGGTTTCTCACACAGAATGAAAGTGGTCTAAGAACTTAAAAATTTTTAATTTACCTATTCAAACCATATCATTATTATTTGCTTTTATTTAAATCAGAAATAACCAATTTAAAATGGAAAATTTTAAAGAAAAAAAAGGAAAAAAAAATCCCCCCCCAAATTTTTTGAACTCCCTTATGATTCATCACCCCCAAACTCAATTCAAGCTTTCCCTTTGTGGTATGGTACCTTGCAGTACAATTTCAGAGAGATCCATACACTTGAACACAAGTTATTGTCTGGAAACTAGAAAAATGCTTGTTTTTTGGCCCCAGATTCCTAAACGTTTAGGGCAATTACCCCCAAACTCAAACCCAGCTTTCCCTTTGTGATATGGAACCTTGCAGTACAATTTCATAAAGATCCATACACTTACACACAAGTTATTGTCCTGAAACTAGAAAAATGCTTGTTTTTTTGCCCTTTTATGGCCCCTAATTACTAAAATTTTGAGGGAATTACCCCCAAAATCAATCCCAGCCTTCTCTTTGTGGTATGGTACCTTGCAGTACAATTTCAGAGAGATCCATACACTTGAACACAAGTTATTGTCTGGAAACTAGAAAAATGCTTATTTTTGGCCCCTTATTCCTGAACTTTTTGGGCAATTACCCCCAAACTCAATTCCAGCTTTCCCTTTGTGATATGGAACCTTGTAGTACAATTTCATAAAGATCCATACACTTACACACAAGTTATTGTCATGAAACTAGAAAACGCTTGTTTTTTGCCCCTTTTTGGCCCCTAATTCCTAAAATTTGGAGGCAATTACCCCCAAAATCAATCCCAGCATTCCCTTTGTGATATGGAACCTTGTGGTACAATGTCAGAGAGAGATCCATACATTTACACACAAGTTATGTCTGGAAGTTACAAAAATGCTTATTTTTGGCCCCTAATTCCTTAACTGTTAGTACCATAACCCCCAAAATCAATCCCCACCTTCCATTTGTGGTATTGAACCTTATGGTAAAATTTCATTGAGATCCATTCACTTAAACTAAAGTTAGAGTGCGAAAACTAATGTGTCTTCGGACGACGACGTCATACCAATATACGACCACAAAAAATTTTTTGCGGTCGTATAAAAACTGGGACATACATATTTACAAATGCTTATTCTATCATGGGGAAGAGTTTACTATTTATCATAAATGCCCTAGAAGCTATATTTATACAAATTTAAGTTCCTGCTTAACACACAACTAGAGGCTCCAAAATACCAGAGTCGCTAACAGGGAAAAATATGACATATTGAAATCAACATAAGTGTGTTAGACAGACATACAGATGAACAATACTATGTTCCCACCAACTTCATGTTACTAATATCCTGCAACACAATCATCACAATTCTTCTTGTAATCAGAAGTAGGCTTGCAATTATCAGACTGAATGTGAACAGTAGATTATTTTGATATTCCTTACCTGGAGAGTAAGTTGTACCACTGACATTGAAAGCCTGGATCTGGACATTACTGATTGTCATAGAGAAATCATACTCTTCACCATCTTTTCCAGTCACTGTGTTAAATTTGATTACCCTAGGTTCTGTACATGTATAGGAAGCTGTCATTGTAGATAATTGTGTACTGCTAACAGTTTTTGCAGTCTGTATACCTGAAAAATACATATTTAATAACAAACTAGTACTACATTTTGTCTTTTTAACTAAAAATTCAATCTCCATCATTACATAGGCGTATTTAAGTTACTGGTAAAATAAATGCATTTGAAAAGAAAGGACAAGAGATGCTAGCAACATCTTATAAAGAACTAGGGTTTTAATTAGTATATCAAAGGAACTGGGCAGTTAACATTAGATAGATTAATGACATAACAAGTTTCAGTGACATAGACAACCACAGAATCAAAATAAAACGAAAGTTCTCAACCAAGTTTCATTCCTCAACAACAATGTGTCCATAGTACACGGATGCTCCAACACTATCATTTTCTATGTTCAGTGGACCATGAAATTGGGGTCAAAACTCTAATTTGACATTAAAATTAGAAAGATCATATCATAGGGAACATGTATACATATATATAAGTTTCAAGTTAATTGGACTTCAACTTCAGCAAAAACTACCTTGACCAAAAACTTTAACCTGAAGCGGGACAGACGGACGAACGGACGCACAGACCGAAAAACATAATGCCCCACCTACGATAGATAAAAATGCAAGTTGGATACCTAGTGTTATATTAAGGTATATAGGTAAAAAATTTAAGAGACAAATGCCTATGCACAATTGCCTTCCTACAAAGAATTGGGCATATTGACCCATTCATGAATTTATTAAAAGTCATGATATAAATATATATATAAACGTGTCTAAATTGAAAACAACGTTCAAACCTATGATTGCGTTGGATAAAAACCGCAATTTTTATACGTGTGCATGTAAAACAAATTTCTTGGTAGAGGGGTCTAAATACAGCGCAAACAACATTTTCCAAAAGACCAAAAAAGTGAAAAGTATATTTTAACAAAACGCATTTGACGAACAGGTTGAACAACGTATGTTCTTAAACCCTGCTGACTGCCATTGACGATTGCCAAATAAATTGATCACCAGATGTAACATGGATCTTATATTTAATCTAATACCAAACAGAAAACAATAAACTTGCGGAGAAGATAGGTGAAAAGTATATTTTAACAAAACGCATTTGACGAACAGGTTGAACAACGTATGTTCTTAAACCCTGCTGACTGCCATTGACGATTGCCAAATAAATTGATCACCAGATGTAACATGGATCTTATATTTAATCTAATACCAAACAGAAAACAATAAACTTGCGGAGAAGATAGTGAAAATATACTTTTTCACTTTTTTGGTCTTTTGGAAAATGTTGTTTGTGCTGTATTTAGATCCCTCTACCAAGAAATTTGTTCTGCATTCGGTTTTTATCCAACGCAATCATAGGTTTGAACGTTGTTTTCAATTTAGACTTGTATATATATATAAACAAATGAATAGTAAATACTGTTCACTCATTATTATTCATGGGGTAGCAATTTTCATGGATTTCTTTGGTAAACCTTAAGGAATAAAACTAATTCATAGCCCCATTGCTTTCTATATCAAATTCTGCAATTTCAAGCATTAATGGCTACTTTGTCTAAAGTTCAAATAAAGTGGCAGTCATTTCATGTCAAAACTATACCTTATCCTGACTTATGCTGAAAAATTCAACATACCTTTAATTGCATATTAGAGCGTACTGGTTCCCGGAAGTTTGATAGTACAAAAACAGGTACTTCTGATCTGTGCACTCCAATTATAATTTTATATACTTTTTTTATCATTCAAAATAAACTTTCAACAAGGGTTCTACAGTGATCCCAAGTCCCCAAGCTTTCATTTGATACCAAAACTATCCAAATATTTCACCTATTGACAAAAGTACAGCTATGCGTAGGAACTATTTTGTTAAAAATATGTACTAGTTTCTTGTACAATGTTCTTTCTGACCGGGCCTGAATTAGTGCTTGTTTACCTTAACCACAAATTGAAGTGTTCAATGAAGTTCAAATTTTCTATTGGCTTCTAAGTAGAAAAAAACACAAAATCAAGTCTCCATGAATATGCTGTTCCACAATCCAACAAATTGATACCCACAAAAAATAAAAGAATCTACAGTAAGAGAAAAATTTTAAGGTGAACATCAAAAGTATGTTAAACTGTAAAATATTAAATAAATTATTAAATAAATGATTGTAACTTATTATGTAATGCCTACATACCTGTATCTCCATTCTTGAATATGAAATCTGGTGTGAAAGTGAGGGCAAGATCCATTTTCACATTAGAATCTGCCCCTAGTTGGAAACTAAAATCTAATGACCCCTGCACACCAGATGCAAAAGTAAGATCTACAGAGGATAATGACTGACCACACACTCCACTACCCATAGCACCACCCTCTAGTGTTGATTCTGTTTTCTGCTGAAATAAATAAATACAAAACACAAAATGCATTTAAGGTACAATGTAGATCTGGTGTCCTCTACTACAATGTATCTCAGATTGTAAAAAAGAAGAAAATAATAGGTCTGATTTTAATGCATTATACCAATTTTGAGACAGGAATGCAATCCATTTGTAACAATTTTCATTTAAATAAAGAAATTTGTTTGATCCATTTTTATTGTTTTACCAAATACAGAATACATTTGTTTGATTGCCATACTTTTAAAATATCTTTGAAAATACAATTAGTGATAAATATATAAAAATACAATTTGGCATACATGTACATGTATTAAAAAATTTATCAATTTAATTTAGACCAGCCCAACCCTCCTGGCCCTATTTACATTTAGCAGCACATATCATAAACTTGAGCGTTCCTGATGAAGGTAAATCCAGAAAAGTGCTTCAGACGCATGAAATCTATAAATTTTTGTACATGTACATGTACTTACACTTGCATTGCTCTTCATCAAAAGAGTAAGGTTAGCACTCATGTCCATCATAATACATGGCTTTGTTGGATCAGGATATCGAACCTTTTTAGCACTACACCCTTTAAACAAATTAAAAAGAAATACATTATAATGTGAAATGTAAGTGTAAATCAAACAGCAATACAAGATAAATTGAGAGATAATCTAAAAGATTCAGTATGGATGCAAGGATTACAAGTTCATTCTGTATCGTATTTTTTAAAGTGTGAAACAATTCAGCTAAAAGTAATAAAATGCTTCGCTGAGCGCAGCTGGATACGACCCCAGAGGTCCAACCTTGAACAGTTGGGGCAAAAATGGACACAATATTCGCGCTTGATACAGGTCTGAATTTGGATTGTAATTAAATATTTGACACATAATAGGTTTCTGACACCGAAAAACTGTAGTCAAAGAACATAGAATTGGTTATATGATTTGAATTTATATTCAATTTTTTGCTTTTGTGAAATACACTATGCTGTTCCCCCCCTCAAAAAAAAAAAAAAAAAATGTTTACCCCCCCCTATTTTTTACAAAAAGAAATAATATTTGAAGAAATTTTTCTTTTTAATTTCTGAATTCTGAAATGAAAAAAAAAATTGCCCCCACAATTTCTTTTTTACATCCCCCCCCTAATTTTTTTTTCACCTGCCTCCCCTTTTCCAAAATATTCTTTCCCTCTGACAAGATATGATCATAATCTCATTTCAAATTTCCAATGGAGTTTGCAACCATAATTACCTATTTAAATACATCATAAAAGTCTTAAAATAGAAAAAAATCCCCCCCCCAATTTTTTGAACCCCCTTATGATTCATCATCCCCCAACTCAATCCCAGCCTTCCCTTTGTGGTATGGTACCTTGCAGTACAATTTCAGAGAGATCCATACACTTGAACACAAGTTATTGTCTGGAAACTAGAAAAATGCTTGTTTTTTGGCCCCAAATTCCTAAACGTTTAGGGCAATTACCCCCAAACTCAAACCCAGTTTTCCCTTTGTGATATGGAACCTTGTGGTACAATGTCAGAGAGATCCATACACTTACACACAAGTTATTGTCATGAAACTAGAAAAATGCTTGTTTTTTGCCCCTTTTCGGCCCCTAATTCCTAAAATTTGGAGGCAATTACCCCCAAAATCAATCCCAACATTCCCTTTGTGATATGGAACCTTGTGGTACAATGTCAGAGAGATCCATACACTAACACACAAGTTATGTCTGGAAGTTACAGAAATGCTTATTTTTGGCCCCTTTTTGGCCCCTAATTTCTTAACTGTTGGTACCTTAACCCAGTGATCGGGAAGGACGTGCGCCATGCGCCAATCGCGCTTTTCGACCATAACTGGCGCATAGGGTGACAAATGTAAGCGCCCACATGGCGCACGATATTTTTCACTTCGTTTTTAAACTTTAGATATCGTAAAATGGATTTCCGATCGTGAATCGTGTCGCCATATGTGTGTACAAAACTGTGTAGTGTTCCCTCCAATGATAGGAGCACCACCTATTGATTTTTGGGACGTCTCGGGCGTTTTTCTATGGTAATAATAGCAACATGCGGTATAACTGATTACCCAAAATACGTAATAAACCATCATTCATGATATAAATTTTTATAAACAACTTTAAATTTGTGAAATTTGGCTAGTACAGTTGAAAATTTTTTTCTAATTATAATCTTTTAAGTAAGCTTGCTATTATTTCGATTGAAAAATCCAAAAGCCTTTTTATGAATGTAGTATTTGTTTCCATAAAAGGCGCTTAACTGTCCTTGTCAATTTTTTGGTCTTTGGCTTGTTTGAACATTTTGTAAACATGCCTTCAGCGAATTGTTGTTGTGTCTTATCAATTAACGTTACTCTCTACTGTTATTCTTGTCATCGCGATGAAGTAATAATAATACAAGAAGTGCAGAGGAAATGCCAGAAACGTCATCTAATACGGAATGTCTGGAATAAAGTATGGCAATCGACGAAGACCCAAATTTAATGTAAAGAAAAACATGAACATGAACAAGGCAACAGTACCAGTTGTAAATAAAGGTTATCGTAAATATTGCCTGGTTTGGAAGAAATTATTGTACATTCATTGAAATTGAAATTACAAAGCACAGGAACAATATCCATGATATCAATTAGAATCATACAGGTACTGTAAGTACCACTGCCTCGTTGCTGAAATATACATTTTATTTTTTAATTATTTATTGTAAACGAATGGCCCACTCATTTGACAACATGGCCCATTAATTCTAAAAATGGCCCATTGAATTTATTTTATGGGGGCCCTGGGCCCATAGAGAAAAAATCCTTCCAGATCACTGCTTAACCCCGAAAATCAATCCCCACCTTCCTTTTGTGGTATAGAACCTTATGGTAAAATTTCATAGAGATCCATTCAATTAAACTAAAGTTAGAGTGCGAAAACCAATGTGTCTTCGGACAACGACGACACCAACGTCATACCAATATACGACCGCAAAATTTTGCGTTCGTATAAAAAGGCAAGATTGTGGGAAAAATTTCAAGAAAATGTTATAAACACTTGTTGAAGTGATTACATTTGAACTTCTCAAATTACTTATTTCAGTGATTTTAAAAAGTCTGTGTCTATTTTTGTAAAAATTATTAATAATTCACAGCCCAAATTACTTGAAGAAGTGATTCTGAAATCACTTGTTTAAGTAGTACCCCTGACTGGTAGACCAATTTAAAAATCATGACCCAAAATTAAAAATCTAAATACACGGTTAGATTTGGCATATCAAAGAACCCCAATAATTCAATTTTTGATGAAATCAAACAAAGTTTAATTTTGGACCCTTTTGACCTCAATATGAACCAATTTGATAGGGGGGGGGGGGGGGGGCCCACAAATAAAAAATCAAAATACATGGTTAGATTCAGCATATCAAAGAACCCCATATATTCAATTTTTGTTGAAATCAAACAAAGTTTAATTTTGGACCCCAATTTGGACCAACTTGAAAACTGGGCCCAAAATCAAAAATCTAAATACATGTTTAGATTCAGCATATCAAAGAACCCCATATATTCAATTTTTGTTAAAATCAAACTAAGTTTAATTTTGGACCCTTTGGACCTTAATGTAGACCAAATTGAAAACTGGACCCAAAATAAAAAATCTAAATTCACGGTCAGATTCGGCATAACAAATAAATAATTGTGGTCAAAGATTTTACAAATCTAATGCGCCATACTGTGCAATTAAAGATTACTTCTTGAAATTTTTCAATATTTGAAATTTGAAAAAAAAAAAAATTATTTGAAGAATTTTTTATTTTTCTTTTTAATTTCTGAAATCTGAAAATATTGACCACACACAATTTGTTTTTACCCCCCAAAAAATTCTTTCCCTCAAGATATGGTCATAATCTCAATTCAAATTTTCAATGGAGTTTGCAACCATAATTACCCATTAAAATTTACCATAGTGCCAACTTAATCCATTTTATAATAGAATTTAAAATATGGTGTCAAATCTTTCATATGGATTTTTTTGTAAAAATAAAAAGATGCAACATTTGCAGATATTTTTGCTGGTCTTCCTTTATAAATATGCATTTCTTTAAACATAATTTGAAAGCAGTGTAAGGGAGCTAATCGAAACGTATTTGGATTACCTCCCTTACACTGCTTTTAAATTGTCTTAATTGTTCATTAACCATTACTATATACATAATTTAAAAGCAGCGTAAGGGAGGTAATTCAAATGATGTATTTGAATTACCTCCCTTACACTGCTTTAAATTATGTTTTGTACTAAAGTATTTGTCCATTAACCAGGACACCCTGGTTTTTCCCCCTTTTTTGCCCCTAATTCCTAAACGGTTTGAGCCATAACCCCCAAAGTAAATCCTAACCATCCCTTTGTGGTATGGAAACTTGTTGTATAATTTCAGAAAGATCCATACACCGTTCCACAAGTTGTTGTCTGGAAACTAGAAAAATGCTTATTTTTTTCCCCTTTTTGGCCCCTAATTCCTTAACTGTTGGTACCATAACCCCCAAAATCAATCCCAACCTTCCTTTTGTGGTATTGAACCATATGGTAAAATTTCATAGAGATCCATTCACTCAAACTAGAGTTATTGTGCAAAAACAAAATTAATGTGTCTTCGGACGACAACACCAACGTCATACCAATATACCAATATACGACCAAAAAAAATTCGGTCGTATAAAAAAACTATGTCTATTTATCAGTAAAATATGGGAAAATGAAAATAAATGTTTTCAAAATTTTGCTCTGGATGCTGTATTTTGGTCATAAACAAGCTTCTGTCCAAATTTCCTAATGAAGGTATGACAAAGTTATTGATGTTTTAATAAAACTTTTAACACAGACTGACCCTAAATGTTGACGCCTATGGAATCTAGGATCGCCATGTCTCGCTATCGTTACATAAATGTCGCAGGCTCAACAAAAATGGTGGTCACCTATCAACTACAAAGATGATGTTGGACACTTCACAGTAGGATAAATGGACAGGTCAAATCATGAAAATTAAACATTATTACAAATAAAATGATCCGCAGGGCGCAGCTTGATACGACCGCAGAGGTCGAACCCTGAACAGTTGGGGGAAGTATGGACACAACATTCAAGCTTGATACAGCTTTGGATTTGGATTGTGATAAAATATTTGACACAGCATAGGTTTCTAACACAGATTGAATGTGGTCTAAGAACTTAAAAATTTTAAATTGGACATTCACCTACCAATTTGAAAACGGAACCAAAAATTAAGAATCTAAATACACGGTTAGAGTCGGCATATCAAAGAACCCCAATAATTCAATTTTTGATGAAATCAAACAAAGTTTAATTTTGGACCCTTTTGACCTCAATGTGGACAAAGTTGATAACGGGGCCCAAAAATCAAAAATCTAAATACATGGTTAGATTCAGCATATCAAAGAACCCCATATATTCAATTTTTGTTGAAATCAAACACAGTTTAATTTTGGACCCCGATTTAGACCAACTTGAAAACTGGGCCCATAATCAAAAATCTAAATACATGTTTAGATTCAGCATATCAAAGAACCC